TAAAATATTTACCCGCTTAGTAAATATATTGATTTTTTTTATTTATCCACATGAAAAAGCTCAAACCAAGAAAGTGTTATATTAAGTTGTATTAAGCTTTATGCTAAATTTGCTGAGAGACTTCTTGTATTTAGAATATGTGTAGAAATGTAGAAATTAGAATTTGTAGAATTTAGAATTGACTTGTCATATCAAAATTAATTGGCCGATTCTGCCGCAAAACATACCAATGTTATGGCAAGGCCATGTTACGCTCCAACTTGCATACATTTATGCTACTGAATCATACTGAATACTGTAAAAATGTCATGCATTTGCTGTGTTTTCAAGTGTGTTACACATAAACTGCAACGTTACTCGTATGTTATGAAGCTGCGTCAGAAAGACCCTGTTATCTAAAATCGTTTTTTTGACTTTTGTGCGGTTACTAAGTTACTAATTAGGTTTTCTACCTGACAACCTAAATAAAACGCCTGGTTGCACACCAATTGCATGGCTTTGATAACATTTAGAACGAATTAGTATGGAAATACATAACATAGCTTTATCATAACATTGGTATGTTGTACGGCAGAATTGGTCGAATTTACCGTCGTAGCCAAAGGATTAAATACTTTCAAAGCTTTTGATGTCCTTCATTCACCATATTTGATTCTTTAATATTCACATACCTGATAGTAGCAGCCATGTGATAAATAATATCGACGTTTTCAATAATTTCTTTCCTGTCATCTTCAGATATTCCCAAATTGATCTGTGTTACGTCTCCGCTTACAATTTTGCAATGGGACATCAATTCTGCTAATCCCCGTTGATTTTTTACTGTTTCGAATAACTGAAAGGAAAAAAAATATTTTAAATGCCTAAAGAGATAGCATATGAATCATATTTAATATTATAAAATAAAATGAGTTAGAATATTTTGTTAATTGTAAATACTAATGTTCAAATAAATATCTACCATTTGAGTTATGATTGCAAGCAATGACCCTAAATAATTTCTTTGTAAGTGCTTTTGGAGGTGGCACAAAGTTGTATAAAATTTGAAGTAAAATATTTCGAATAAGATCTGGAATCAAGCTTCTGCTATTGTTATTTTAGCTTTAGCTTCTTCTATTGTATGAAGTTATTGCTATTTTTTTCTGTTGATGAATGCCTGAGTGTTTTTGTCATGAATAATGAATTTAATTAAGTATTTTTTTTTTAAATATAGGACATTACCCATTGCAAAGTTTTACAATATTGTCTTTCAATTCCGTTAAAATATATTTAAATAATTTTGAAAATTTAAGTTATTTGCCACATTGTCTCCTATATAAAATTCATAACTGTTCAGAATTAATAACGTGCTGCTTTAAATTGAATAACTTAGTAGAATACTTGTAAAATATGCTAATCCAGCAATAAAATTCCGATATAAAGAAAACTTTAAACAGGTTTAGCCATTTAGAGTTATGCAAAAGTTAATATATTTTAAAATTGAAATATTTTTTATTCACTACAAATGTTTTTTAATTTTGATAAATGATAAATGAAGTACTAGATAACGATATATCTAATAACGTATTTCAAGAAAGATATTCAAATAATATTAATATTCCTTATGAAAATATTTTACAAACTTAATAATTAGGAAATAAACATTTTTGAAAGTTTTGAAAACATTTGAAAAATTTGAATATTGAAAACATAAAAAAATACTTTTTTCAAAATACTGACATATTTTAAAAACCTATTAAATATTTGATTTTTATTTTGAAAATTTCATCTCGGTTAATCCATACTGTCAAAATATCTAATTTTCGACTTTTTTAAACCTTTTTTCCTGAATCTCCGAAACAGCAGCACCTGCCTTTGCAAAAATTGAATCAACTCTTTATTACTTCAATACTAGTGATTTTTTTTGAATGATTCAAATCGGTTGATCCGTACGCCCAAAATTGTGGACAAAAATTGTATCTACACACATACACGTTACGCACAAACTGATGACTAATAATAAACTTTTCTAAATAGTATTTCACAATACGCAATTTCGCTCCAAGAATTCAATTTAGAATTAAATGTCTTTTGAAATATCAGACATCACCATAAAGTAATTCAACATGGAATTACATGAATAAAATATCATATTTTGCTAGCATCCTGTCAACGATGCGTGCACCGTTTTTTACGAGGAGAAAATTTTATAATGTCCAATATAAAAGCAAGAGAAGATCTAAACGAACTTTCCATTCGTTTCAAAATTAAACGAATAAAATTAAACATATAAAATAAAACAGTAATAGTAATCAAATTATGAATCAGAATTTAGAACTTACTCTTTAGATTTAGTAAATAATATATAATGTAAAGTTATTATTACTGTTTTGTAATTTTATCTCATCCATTTTCAAACCAAAAATGACTACCACTGGGTAGCATTTTGAAATCTTATATTTATACATTTGTCACCAATTTGTAATTATATAAGAATAAAAAAACTCAGAATTTATACAGACTTTTATATTTGGTAATTTGTAGTAAATATCAGGTTGGCAACTAAGCAAGTGCGGATTTTTGTTAGTAATTAAAAGATAATTTTTTGTAGAACTAAATAATTTTCTTCTAAAATGGATTGCCCATTCTGATCACTGACTCTTGTCATCTCTTAAGAAGCATCATTATCCTACTTTTATAAAACTGGCATTTATTAGCAAAAAACTGAATTAGGTACAATTTGATACCATTAGCATTATTGTTCTTGTTTAAATTCAAGGAGTTTTGTAAAGATTGAAACCAAAAGTAATCAGATAGTGTATGGTAAGGTCAGGTCTACATGGTGGATGTGGCAAAACATCACAACCAAGTTTCAATAATTTTCACAAAATGCCAATGTTATGTGATGTCAATAATAGAATAAATCACCGTTTTGATTTGCTAATTCAGTCCGTTTTTTTCATCTGCTTTGTTTAATTTTGTTAGTTGTTTAATGCAGACATCAGAGTTGATTGTGCGATTGGTGATAACAGTTAAAAAAAATCTTAATTTTTCATCTTTGTGTGAAGAGAAAGAACAGAATTGCCATCATCATCACCATATCAGCGCATAATTTTTTGTGAGCATAATATGCTTTTTTACCTTTGCAGAAAATAAAAACAAAATATGATAAAGATTTTCGATTTGATTTTCGACAAACGACAAATCGAAACTACACAATCCACCAAAACACTCTGTTCTACAGGTTTACTGCTACATTGCCCATTATCCAGTAACAAGAAGTATCCAATAACATTTGGACTAGGTCATCAAACCTAAAAATTCAATTGGAACCAACTAAGAATAAAAGCCGTGATTAGTTGCTAACCTAATATATAAATAATTCTAGAATCCTAATCACGTGTTCAGCCTTGAAATAATTTCAATATCCACCTATCGCTTGAAAATATTCTGATATATGATGTACCACATAAAATAATTAAATTTAATTGGGTATTATTTGTTACATCAGTTCTCAAGAAAAGTCCAGGTGGAAAATTATTCAGATATCTTTTTTCAACCAAAGTGCAAAAGCGTTTACCATCCAATTGCAAAAAATGCAAACGAGATATCATGCATATGCATAAGCATAATATATATATATATATATATATATATATATATATAATTGCTTGTGTAAAATGATGTCAATTAGATATTACGCTATTATGCAATTTACGTATTGTGGTATCGATTCTCAGAATAAAACTGTTTTATAGTTATACAGAAACATATGGACGTGTTAATTGCAACTAAAAAAACATAATTGTGGGTCAAAGACTAAAGTTTATATTATTTTAATATGATTATTAAATTGTGACTCAGTAATTATTCTATTGTAAATCTAATAATTTATTGCACTTTTTTAGTATTTTTCTAATGATAAAGCTATATGTTTCAAAACTTGTATGTAATTGTCGTTTTATGTGATAGACATTTTTAATTCATTCAATTGCGATGAACAGATAAATTTTATATATGTTTTTTGATATTACGTATTGTTACAATTTTCATCAACATATATTTTTTATTTAAATATTGATTAATTGTGTTAAAAAAAATTTAATTTTTATGTTGATATTATTCTACCATGATTTTAAAGCTATTTTTATAGGTTTCAGGTTTGATATCTACATGTGCCAGGTTGATCTCAAGCGGTAAGGACATAACTTTGCACTTGGAAATATACCATTATTTGAGAAACACAGCTGCAATCCATTAGAATAACTTTAGATAAAAAATTGGGCAACCAATGGGTGGCCTTGAAACACTGGACTAAAAAATGTTTAACATAAGCGACATATTAAACACTTAGTCCTGATTGCTGATCAAATATATCAAATAATCAATACATCTTATTTTGGACAGATTGATATCAAGCAGTAGTGATATTAGATTTTACGTGAAACATTTTACGTAGAATGTCTGCAATATATGACATATTATGACTTATAAAAAATCTAATAACAGTCTCATTAAAGGAATAGTCAATCCCTGAGTTGATTTCTGGTAACACTAGGACAAGGATTCACATCATTACAGTTTATGGAACACAGTTATGTTCAAGTATATACAAAAATGTATTTTAATAATGTTATTATAAAGTATGTAAATATTTAATAATGTTACCGATGTACCCCTCAGCAAAAATAATTTTCATTGCTAATAAGAAAAAAAAAACTGTATCGCAATTTTCCTTTAATCTTAAATTGAACCAGGAACAAAACATATGAATCTGATTGCAATAATAGGTAGTCAATTTTCATATATAAATTATCGAATCGAAAAGAAAATTCAAGTAACAAACGTGTTGAAATCTTTTACTAGAATCGACTTCCTGGTGCTTAATGTTCTGCACTGAGGATTTGTGCTTCGGTGCATCAGACACGCTTTTGCAAATCCATATCACAATGGTCTCCAAAGATATAAAGTGCATGATGCCTTTTCATGCAAATCAGCCCGTGAAAACGTTACTGATTTTTCATTGTTACACGAAATTAGCGGCAAAGATTGAAAATTGTTCGATGGAAAATTGTTATAAGTAGAATTTTTATGCATGCACATGATATAAATATATTGGATGCAGAAGAATGCAGATGATACATGAGTTGGAAAGAAAAATAGATGGAAATAAAAATTATATATGAGGTGAAGGGTTTGTTCGTGGCTGAAGCGGTGAGAGCTTTTAGAAACACAAGGTTTCAGATTTTATTTCTGGCTCAAATAGCTTGATATAAAGCAGTGATGTAGATTCAAACATGATTTCAAGTTAAAATAATCTGACCTGATAATGCTTTAATAATCTCATTACAAAGAAAACTACTGAGTCGGCTCACAAAACAAAGTTGATCAAACAATTATAGAGCATTCATATGGCAAAGTAGAAGAAATTAATTTTTCTTGAATGTCCAAAATGTAAATTTTAGTGATGTTGAAGATTTATATTATTTTGAATATTTTGTGCATAAAAAGAAGGTTATTTCTCGTACGAAGCGTTTGAAAATTTACTTTTTAATTTTCTCAAAACAGCCATAAATCGACGATTTTTTTGTGGGAGTGCTGGTTAAATAGTTTCTCCATAATAAATATTTATTTTTTTAATATGATTTTAACAGAAAGTCAAAAAAATGGTGTGTTATTAGTTTGTACTTACTTTTGTAAGTTATTTTGGAAATTACATGATAACTAAAATATAAGTATTATGCTTCATAATTAAGTAATTAAAATTCAAACTATTTACAACAGTAACGAATAATTAAAAAAACACATACTATAATTTATATACGTTAAATATTGTTTTAAGAGAAGTAAATATTAAAATATTCATAGGTGTTTTGCAAATTACACGATAACTAAAAACATAATTATAATTCTTTATAATTAAGTACTTAAAATTCATATTTATTACACCTGTAACAAACAGTTTAGAAAAACAAACTGTACTCTTTATGCGTTTTGAAATTAAAAAATCCTGCAACTCTCATTATATGCAAATAAGAACAGGGACATTAAGCCACTTGCATAACAATAATTATAGGACAATTACCCTTATTATGATAGTACTTAAATGCTATTATTAGTTTTTAGCGATAGATTTTATTTAATTTGATGATAAGCAAGAAGTTTTAAATATAGATTTTGAATAAAAAGCAATCACAACTAATGACTGTTATGGATGAAACAACACACGAAGGTTTGAATTTGTCACTAGTTAGGTTTAATACATAGCAAGTACATAGGTTTGTGACAGTTTTTACCACCAATTCATACAAAAATTGGGCTGTAACATGGGTTCAATAACATTTCTGATTTATCGGAGAATCGGTCCCAATAAGAAGATTCTGAAGACAGAAGATTAAAAAAAACCCATATGAATGAAGCTTTGCGATTGTGATTGTGTTGTACAAATACTATAATAGAAATAGGATTTCCAAATATGATGATATCCAATATGATAAATAAAGTGTATCTGTTAAAGGTTAATTTTCTACTAAAACTATGCATTTCCAATTTGTGGTCGCAATAAATAAAAGAGTATAATAACTGAAGATGACAATGTAGTTCTGAAACGTTATATAACATAAGCCATTTATTTTATGTATAATGTTGATAGCGTCGCATAAGTTGCAATATATGATGATTATTTAATCATAAGACTTACCGCAGAAGAGAAAATTTCTTCTAATCTTTGTTTGGGATCTTTTCCTTTCTTTGGCCTCACCAGCAAGTACATCGTTTTCACTCCGGTACATGATCTGGAACGTGAATTTATGGAAATTAATATAGAAGTTAAAATTTTAATGAAGTCAAAACAAAATTATTTATAGATATTTATTTTTGATGCAAAGTCTACACCAAAAACCAATGACGGTAATTGTGTTTTCCTCAGATTTCAAAACTGAAGGTTGAATACTTTAGTTTGAATTTACACGCTGTTAAATATAACCATCATAAATATAAAGTATTTGTTAAGGATAATGATTTGTATAAGCAAAATCATTTTTTGAAAATTATCTTCTATAGACCGTTTCAAGAAATATAGTCGACCTAAACATTAGATCTGCGATTTGATCAAAAAAATATAATAGTAATTATTTGAATCACACATGAAATATATACAGGATGTCCTAGATACAAGAACTTAACGTCAAGCTAAAACCAAAGTTTTAATGGACAAAGTTAATAAAAATTAATAATAACTCAAAAATGGTCATTAACCTCTGCACCTAAAAGCTAATAATTTCCAAACAATGTGAGATATTTTTTTTTTGTAATTTTTACAGGACAGATCTATACTATCACCCCGTTTCGGCTTGACTGAGTTCTGATACATCCTGTATATCTATAATATATTAGGATGGGTCAAATATGTTGTCTATCTATGCAATTATGATTTTATTCCTAGAAACTTGTCTGAAGAAACTATAGCTCGTTCTCCATATATTTAGATATCAACTCATGTTTACTCGTGTGCGTCTTTGTATAGTTATAAGATAAATAGTCAAAACCAAGTTCTTAAAATACTATAGGCCTAGAACAATTGGTTCAAATATATATATATATATATATATATATATATATATATATATATAAACTGGCCAAACTCCTTAACTCTATTTTGGATACTTATAGATCAAAACAGAGATATAATTGTATCATTAACGAGGTTGACTGAAATACTCGTCTAAATAAGTCATATGAAAATTTTGGAATTATCAACCAAGATGTGTAAATGTGGATTTTCAATAGGATCAACTAAACATATTATTCTGAAATGCAGTCTATTTGAGGAAGACAAGAAAGAAATACTAGATGAATTTTACTCTATAAAGTCGCTAAAAACCGTTTGTAATTTTATAAGTGAAAACTATCTGTATTTGATATATGTGGCTAAATGTGTATGGCTAAAAAAATAAAAAAAACAGACGGTATTCCAAAATGCAAATATGAGCGTAAATGTTTAAATATGTTCTAATTTCGAGACCTGCTTGACATGAAGAAAGAAAAAATGATATATACGTGCAGATATGGGGTTGCTTAAACTTTAATTAATCATTATAATTAAACTACTTCTTATATGCCTATAATATTTTGAAGGATTTGTTATCAAATAAAGTATCGACTATAATATTTTAAAATGCTTGTTATCAATTAAAGTATCACCTATAATCGTCTATCATCAAACTTTCAGACAGGTAAACCTTTTTTTTAAGTAAATAGTTAAATATATTAAGAGAAATTTTATTAAAAATTTTGCTGGCTTAAATTTGCTTCCGAACTTAAGATTTTCGGCAAAGTTTCTTTAAAGGACTCATAAACCAGAATCTAGATGTACTTCAGTAAACGTTTTTGACTTCATAGTCAGGCAAATATACAACTTTTATATTTTGCATTATAAAAAAAATGAAATTAAATAAAAATGTATTCATTATCAGTAGATATTATATAATATAAGTATTTACATATTTAGTATATATTGTTTGATCTTTTTTATTTTCAAATTTTTTCAAATTGTGTCAACGAACCATTTGAACGATTTTCAAGGTTTGGATGAACATTATTAAAATTTTACCTGTGATTCCACATCAAAATTTATTAATTTATTTAATTTATTTAATTTATATATATATATATATATATATATATATATATATATATGTATTATACATACATATATGGATGTAAAAATAGTTAACTAATTCAACGAAGAAAGTTGCATAAATAACCGGTATTAGCCGTGTTCTACTTGTCTCCTGGATCGTTCGTTCTTCTCGGTCTTACATAATAAATTCAAGAGTCTGTGACCTCAAAACGCAAAAAATTCAAAAAATTGATTCGTACATCACGTGTTTTCGGTTTCAACGTCACGCCATCAAAAGTTGTTTTATTGTGGAACAAGATTTAAAAGCCATTCAACAGGACGGTCTGATCGATATACAAATCGGTAAATGATTAATAACCGGTAATTACTGCTGGTACGAGCCTTGAATCAATACAACATGCTATAGAATTTTTGTAATGATTTTTGTTAAAAAAAAATCGTAATTTGAGACGTAGGGTAGGGTGGGGCACAAAAATGAATTTGAAAATAATGATATTTTTTATTGATAAAAATAATAATATTTCGTATGATAAATTATTCTTATTTAATTAATATATAGAATATAAAGTTGGATTAGCAGTTATAATCGAGTCATTGAATTTACATATTATAGCGATTTTCTTGCAGAAAATTGCAGAGTAAATTCTATATTTTTGAATTTTTGGTGTAGCGAAATTATAAAGCAAATAAGTATGAATTTTATATATTGTAGCAAATAGTAAATACCTTAAGATTTTTTCGACCAGAACCTTTCCCATGAAACCAGTTCCGCCTGAAACAAAGATGCATTTCCCTTTGAACATCTCTGCCACGCGATCTATGTCTTCCGACATATTTGCCTAGAACAAAATAAAGATTTAGAATTTATCATAATTAAATTTTAATATTATTTCATTTAGAAAACAAAACTATAAAGAAGATTTTATTACTTTTATTTAAATTCATTACTCTCTTTTCCACAAATATGCTGTTCTAATCTAGCAAAGACACGTTCTGCAATTTTAGTCAGCAGTTTGTATTCAATAATTGAACAGAAAAATAGGAATCCAAAAAATACTATTTTTTTATAGAAGTATGATTTAAATCAGGTCATACTGTATGCTTGGCAAAATTCATAATTTAAATATTTTTTATATAAAATATTCCAACTGCACTAAATACATGTCAATTGCAAAAAAATGTAACAGTTTCAGTAAACTAATATTCCTTATAAACAAACTGACCTGTTTATTTTTTATTAATATAAGAGCTAATAAAATGGAAGTGATACTTAAGACCATAAATTAAATCTAGAGTCGAGCAATTTTCTATTATAATTTTTTATTAAAAAAATTTTTTGTTAACTTTCTTTCTGAAGTAAAACTTCTTTAGGCGCGGCTAGAGTGTAAATCGGTACAAATGCAACGGAAGTCCGTTACGCCCGAACTGTTTGTTATTCGCTCTCGATGAGATCATTTCTATACGGGTCGATTGTGATCAGCCGACGTGTATGTGAATAGAGATCAGCTGTTGTATGCGTACCGATATCGACAAAGAAATCGGCATAGATAAATAAACATTTTAAAGTTATATCGTAGTACAAATCTTGATTTAATGAAAAATGCCCGAATCAGAAGAATATTTTATCCTGTTTCTTAAAAATAGTAAAACAAACATTAAACATTTGCGCCGTGTACTAAACGTAAGTTTATTGATTAGAAATCTCTATATTTTTGTAGTTTCTATAAATCTTTGAAGTTATTAAAATGGAAAATATTTTTTAGGCAAGACAGATATTACTGTTCAAAGAATGAAATTATATCGCCAGCGAAAAAGTAAAAAATACAAGTAGTCAATGAATGTATGCTAATTTCAATTACATGAAGTGCGAAAAAAATATTTGTTTAGGCGTTGTTTAACATAATCCACTGTGTGAACGAATATTATAGAATTCAGCAATTACTTCATTTCTCTAATCAAGGTTCATTCCTAAATGATAATTACAATGACAAACCGATCGTGTCATATTTGAAGTATGACTAATTACATGATTGTTTTTAAATATTATACATATTTCTAATGCTATTATAAATATATAATTTATAATTTATCATTATATAAATGTGTCTAATGGTTGACACTAATAAATGTGTGCATCACGAGTGTTACCATATTACTAAAAAACATTATTCAAAATTGTTATATGAAGTATTTATTTTTACTTAAATGCTATCTTGTACAGTTGTAAATAAGTTTTACTTCAATCGCATGTGAACCTCACGCGCACTCTTTTTTTATTTTTTGTGTATTTTTAAGACTTTTCTGTTTTATCCTTCCATTGATTCCTAATGAAATATCAAACTCTATTTATTGCAATTGATGCAAAGGTAATAAAAATAAAGCGAGACTTAAGATGAAAATTTAAATCAAGAGTCGTGCGTATTGTAGTATCCTATTGTATTTTTTTTTTATAAAAAAAACGAGATTGATTATGTCCTCAGTTAAATACTAATGATAATATTTCCTTATTCTTGAGACATTTCTGTTTGACAACCCATTGGTTTCCAATAAAATATGAATTTTTAAATACGAGCAGTATGTAAATGTAATCATTTGTTCGTATTGCCCATTATGCAAAGGAATAAATAAACCAAATTAGCTTCATTGCATGTATTAAATTAATGTACTTTCTATGAATTACTCCATAGTACAACACGATTTACAGATTGCCATTGTGCAAATGTGACATTTAGCACATATTACTCTATAAATTAATCATAGGTTACAATAGTTTTCTAATAGTAATGTAATCTTACTATGAATGGTAGTAAATTTAGTAGATTAGATTTAGTGTTTGAAACCAATCCTTCACTATTAGTCTATTGCTGTTTAAGCAAATTGATAGAAGTGCTGAAGTAATCAATGATATAACATTATAACATTATATTACTATATTATATAGAATATAGAAATCCAATGTTACCAAATAATTACCGTCATAGGTAATTCATCATTCAGATCATGATTCTTGTTATTAACCTTATAATGATGCTCGCAAATACTTTGACCATAATATTAATGCCAAACTCTGAGTTAATCAACAAAATTCAATTTTTAATAGCAACGAATTTTCCAAATATTTTTTGTCCCATAGTCAAAATCTATCTGAAGAGT